CAACCGGGAGGCCGCCCCTCGTCGGGCTGGGCGCACACGCCGCCGCCGGGAGCCCCGGGACGACCCGCCCCGGAGCGCCGGCGGGCTCCTCTCGTCCGAGCGCTCGCCCACCGGGGCGGCTGCCTCCCGAGGAGGCCTTCCGGACGGGGTCCGAGCAGGCGCGATCGGAGGATCGCGCCGCGTCGCCCACGAATCGGCGATGCACCGGCGATGCACCGGCGCGATCGGCGGGAAGAAAATCGGGCTCCACATCGAGCCGCATCGCCGATGCATCGGCAGTGCGGCGCGATCCTCCGACCCCATCCTCTCTGATGGGGAGGCCTAGACTTCAGCCAACCCCCCAATGCCCACGCCGGGACAGGTAAGAAGAAAACCCTACATCAGAAAAACGAGCGCAGCCGGGTCCGCTACCTTGCTTGAGTGCCTTCAGCACGCGGTGAAGCGGTAAGTGCCCTGCGGCTCATGGGCATGTCTGAAGGACGAGAACCACCAATTCGCCAGAATTGATTGGCGCTCCAGTGGCCTCCGGGAGCCAAACTCGCCCGAACCAACTCCAACGTCCACCGAGGCCCATCCGAGAAGCGCTCCAAGAAGCTTCGGAACCCTCGGAAACCCCGAGTGATTTCTATAGACTTGGGCATGGCATCCGCATGCCCTCCCCCCCGATCGGGCATCTTCTGACCCGAGCCAATCCGGACCCGGGTCAGCGGGGCCTTGCAGGATCCTGCAAAGTCTGCAGGATCCTGCGGGATCCTGCACCCAAAACCGGGTCAGTGCGACCGTGGCCCTGCAGGATCCTGCAAAATCTGGTGCTCTGACTGACCCCCGTTTGCATTGACCCCCGTCTCTGAAGGGGCCCTGGGACACACAAATAAATACACACAAATAAAAGGATTCCCCATATTTTCTCATATTTTCTGGGTTTTCGTCTTCCCCCCCACTTCCCATATTTTCCTATATTTTCCTGGGGATCGACGATAAATTGTGTCTGTGTGTATTTTCCCCTCCTGAGTCTTTTGAGCCCCGACCCAAGATGGCCGACGAGACCGCCGGCAAGCCAAAGAGAGGGCCCCACGAGGCCCCCGCGAAGCCCCCAAGGAGGCCCCCAAGGAGGCCCCCAAGGAGGCCCCCAAGGAGGCCCCCGAGGAGGCCCCCGAGGAGGCCCTCACGAGGCGCACTGCTGCTCCAACTCATCCGACGAGGGAAGAGCAGAGAGTCACGCGCGAGGTGCCACCACTCGCCCCTCGCGCGCACGGCAGCACTGCGCCCGCGGCTGCGCTGGCCACAGCCGCCCTCCACTGCACTCAGGGGGACGATTCGGCAGGGAGCGGCGAGTGACGACGCTGACGATGCTGAAGATGCTGACAACGGCAGCACTGATGGCGGTGACGACGGTGATGACGACACGGTCTGGATGATGCCAGTAGCGTCGGAGGGGGGAGCCGAAGACCAGCATTGAGTCTGGCGGTACACGTGTTCCTGCGGACCGCTCTTGCAGCTATTGGCTGGCATTCAGCTAGCAGGTTGAAAGATTATGAAACTGCATGATCATAAACTTTCGGATCTCCGCGCGGAGTTCTTGGATCGGCGCCGAAGGCGCCGCCAGGGGGGGCCCAGCGCCGATCCGAGAACTCCGCGCGGAGCTCCGAAAGTCTATTTGTATGTTTATGCAGTCGTTTCTTCTCCGAAGGCCGCATCCGGCAACGCGGAGGCGTCGCCTCGACAGCTAAAGTACAAGAAAAAAAGGTGCCCGCACTTTCGCCAGCGCCCCGCTGGCCCCAGCAAAGGCCGGGGGAGATGTCGGGCGGGTGCCGCCAGAGGTGCCCTCCCAGCCCGACCGAGGAGGAGCGATCGGGGGAGACTGGCACAGGGAGGGAACATCGCACTGGGATCGGCGATGCATCCCCGATAGATCGGCAATACAGTAGGCCCGTCTCATAAGGACGTGAGATAAGGATGCAAGGGCCTTGGGCGCCCATTTCGAAGCTTCTCGAGCGGGCGCCGCCAACGAAAGTGGCCTAGGATGTATCGAGGGGGCAAAGATGCAAGGGTACCCTTGGGAAGGTTGCCCATCCTTACTATGCGGGTCGACTGTACCCTGAGATCCTGGCGTTGGAATGTTTGTCACAACGGGCGTTTTCGCCTGGTTTTGGTCCCCAGCACACTCACAGATCGATCCAGCTCGAAACATGATACCCTGGGATCCTGGCGCTGGAACGTTTGTCCCAACGGGCGTTTTCGCCTGGTTCTGGTCCACAGGACCCTCACGGATCGATCCAGCTCGAAACATGACGCAGAAAGATTGGATCTAGGTCTCTGGTCGTGATCTGTCGCGATGCGGCAATGTTCTGGCAACGTCAGACCAGCGATAGGCCTCCAGCAGCACATCCGCGCTGCCAGGCGGGGCGCGATCCTGGGCCTCCATCAGAAAGCAGTAGGCGGTTGGGGGTGGACGCACTACCCTCCGAGCCTGCCCCTGGGTCGGGCACGTCCTCCTACAAGCCGATCTCGCCAGACAGCTCAAAACTTGTCAAGAAGATCCCAAAATGGAGAAGAATAGCCCGACGATTGTTTCCAAAAACAGCCCGACGAGAAAAATGGACAGTTCAAAAACTGCCAAACATATTCCAACATGGAAAAAGACAGCCCGACGATTGCTTCACTACTTTGGAGCTTTCCTCCTGTGGAAGGACATGCCCGCCTGGAGCCTGCCCTCCCCGAACCCTGGCCCCTGGCCCGACGGCGGCCCCGGGCCTCCAGGAAGGGGGGAGGGGGGCACCCCAGACGCCGCGCACGAGGCCCAGAGGCGCTCCCCTCCTTGGGCGCCCCTCGAGGGGCCCCAGGACACACAAATACATAGACACAAATAAAAACATTCCCCATATTTTCACATATTGTCTGGATTTTGGCTTCCCCCCCAGTTCCCATGTTTTCCCACATTTTCTGGGGAATCGACGATTAATTGTGTCTGTGTGTTTTTGTTTTCCCTCCTGGCTCGAGGGGCCCAGAGCCGGCGGGGGGGGCCCTCGAAGGACCGAGACAACGGCACAACGGCACGAACGTTTCGTCGGCGGCGAGGCAGGGGGGGTGGCAGCGCCAGCGAGCGAGCGAAGCGGGGGCGCCTTTCGTAGCGAGCTGGCCAGCATGCGGGAGCACTGGACAGAGCGGGCGGCCGCGGAGGGTGGGGAGGGGCGAGGGGCCACCCAGGGGCGGACGGGTCTCATCCCTGTGTGGGCTGGCGCGGCCAGCCCCGCCGGCGGGGACCGTGACAGCCGCCAGGCCGCGGCGTCGGTGCAACCACGGGCGCAGGCAACGGCGGGAACCGAAACTTTCGGAGCCCGCGCGGACTTCTGGGGTCGGCGCTGGACCCCCTCCCTGACAGAGGGCGGCGACTTCTTGGGGGCGGCGCCAGAGGGCCAAGGTCAGGCCAGAATCTCTGGGGGGCACTTCGGGCCGCCACGCGGCCTTCACAGGGGCCGCCGCCAGAGGGAGGCCCGTCGCAGGTCCAAGAAACCCGCGCGGACCTCCGAAAGGCTGTGCTGTCGTGGAGGTTTAGCCCCTCTTCCTCGAGCCCAATCCAACTCACTAACTATTCGCGATGACGCCCGTCACCGGCCCCGCCCCCCCCCCTTCCTACCCCCTGGTCACGTCACGATTCGCGCCGGCAGTCTGGGCATCAGCCATTCCTGGGCACTCCCAAAAAGGGGCCGGCGCGAATCGTAACGTTGCGGGCCCCTCCTCAGGGGCGTCAACGAGTGGAGCGTCCAAGAGGGGGGCTCGCAGATCATGGCCCGAGGCACGCGCGAGGACGAGGGGGAGGGCCAGCGGGACGCACTGAGAGAAGAAGGAAGGAAGGAAGGAAGGAAGGAAGGAAGGAAGGAAGGAAGGAAGGAAGGAAGGAAGGAAGGAAGGGGGCCATAAGATCCAGGGAGATATCGTGGCCCAGGCCCAGGCCATGGTAGCCAATCCCCCGAGTCATCACCCCGCCATCACACCGCCCTCTTGGCCGCCCCCGACCTCCCCCCCGCCCCCTCCACTCGGTCACGCCTGGTATCGCCGTGGGATAACCACTGCCCCATCAAAAAGCCCTCCGATAGCAGCGAGAGGGAAGAGGCGGGTCGAGGAGTAGGTGGTCGGCGAATAGAAACGTGCATTCCTGTAGGTACTCTGGGGGATTCCGTGGCAAGGCGTACCCAGTGTAGGCGTGAGGGCACGGCCACGTGCACCCGAATGTATGCTTTACACGGAGTCGTGGCCGTCCGGACCAAACATGTATGAAGGGGCCCCAGGACACACAAATAAATACACACAAATAAAAACATTCCCCATATTTTCACATATTGTCTGGGGTTCTGTCTTCCCCCCCATTTCCCATATTTTCCCATATTTTCTGGGAATCGACGATTATTTGTGTCTGTGTGTTTTTTCCCCTCCTGAATGTAGCCGGCGTTGAGGCGAGAGCGAGACTCCCGCACATGAACGTGCAAGAAGTCTCGGGCGAAGCGGCTGCCAGACCAGGCGGCCCGGGGCGCCCCGTCCTCCTGTGGGACTCCTCGGGCCCTGTCTCTTCGAAAAACATAGAAGCCTCTAGCGGAACGCTGGACATTGCAGAAACAAACAAAAACAAAAAGCATCACGAAAAAAAACGACACATGGCCTAGACCCCTTTTTTTTCGAAGTGTTTCAGGCCGGATCGATCTGCGAGGGTCCCCCCGAAACCGGGCGAAAACGCCCGGCTTGAAGGAAAAAATGCAACGCCAAGATCTGGTCTTAGGTCGGGCATGTCCCCCTGCAGGGGGATTTTGGACGAAGACTCAGAAATACTAGAAAAATACCCCAACAGAATCAAAAAAGGCTCACAAAATCGTCCCCCGACTATGTTTGCACTACTTTTGAATATTCCTCCTCTAGAGGGGCAGGCCCGACGTACATCTGCTCTCCAGGGCCGGCCAGGCACCTCCGCCAGCGCCCGGCGAGAAGGGGCAGAGGCCTGCGAGGGCTCAGCTGCTGCCGTCCGTCGCTCCCGGCAGCAACGGCTCCTCCGCCGCCCCGCCCGCCTCCGCCGGCACAGCGGCGCCGGTCGTAGTCTCCTCGAGGCTCGGGCTCCTGAGGATCGTTCTCGGTTTTTGTCCGGCGATAGCCCTGAGTGATCCAGGGTGACGAGCGAACAACTCACACCCATACCCACAGGAGGGTCGAAAGGAGGGGAACTGGCTATGGGTATGGGTGCGAATTGTCGGACCCTGGGGGAAGCTCCCGTCCGAGCGGGGACCCCCATCCGACAACACGCACCCATAGCCTCCTCCGTCCCCCCTATGGGTAATTATGGGTGCGTGTTGTTCGATCGTCACAGGGGGGGAGGGTGGGGAGAGGTGCCGGCCAACAACCAAGCCGTTTCGCCTCGGGCAGCCCCACGCACGCCCGCGTGAGGCAGTACTGCCCTCCCCCTTCGGACGTGTGCAGCCGGCAAGGTCAGGCTCCCTCGGATCTGACGTTGCAGAAAAAGTGCAACATCGCAAAAAAATCACCACCAGAGCCCTGGACCCCACCTTTCTGCATCATTCTTCGAGGCGGATCGATCTGTGAGGGTCTGGGAGCCATAAACCCTGCGAAAACGCCCGTCAGTGAGAAAATTGCAGCGCCGGGATCTCGAGCCGGGTTCTCGGATATCGCCGCACGAACGGAGGAGGCCGCGCCGAGACGGCACAGAAGCAAACTAAGTGACAACACGTACCTCGGGAGAGATGCAGGGTTCAAGCGTGCAAGCGCACAGGCGTCGCCCAGCTTCGGATTGCAGTGCACAGGCCTGCCGGCGACTGCCGGGGCGCCTCGTCCGCGGCCTCAACGCCCTGTGGGCCACGAGGCTCTGGCGCAGCCTCGCCGACGACGACGAGCGCCAGCGGAATCTGCCCAGGCGTCGCCGGGCTGGTGCAGCGCGCGGGCTGGACCACAAAAAAATCACACCAAAGAAGAACCCCAATCAAAGGATGGCTTTCGCTGAGGAGATCGACCGGGAACCCGGGAGCCCAGGAACCCAGCACCCACCGAAATCGGCCAGGAACCAATAACCGGGAACCCGGGAACCCAGAACCGGGGATCGGGAACCCAGCCTGCTGCCAGAATCGGCGGGAAACTTTCGCCAAATCTTTCATTTCCCGCCAGGACCCCTTCCGTGCAAGCACTGATGCAGCCGGGCTGGTGCAGCAGGAGGGCTGGACCATGAAAACAAACACACGCTCCTGGCGCCCAGCCGCAGCTCCTCGATCGGCGGGCCGCTGCTGCCCTCGAGGTTCGAGGCCCTCCCGCGGGCGGACGTCGGCTCGAGGAGGAGCTTCTCGTGCATCGACCCCTCGACCACGCTCCTGCGCGGACGCGCGCCCGCTCCTCCTCCTCCTCCTCCTCCTCCTCCTCCTCCTCCTCCTCCTCCTCCTCCTCTCCTCCTCCTCCTCCTCCTTCCTCCTCCTCCTCCTCCTCCTCCTCCTCCTCCTCCTCCTCCTCCTCCTCCTCCTCCTCCTCCTCCTCCTCCTCCTCCTCCTCCTCCTCCACCTACTCCTCACTCAGCCCCCCTGGCTCAGGGGAGACCACGGTCGGGGGTTCAGGGGAGACCACGGTCGGGGATTCATCACACTGTCAGGAGGTACAGAGAGGTCGCAGGACTTCTCACCGCGCGGCCCCCACGTCGCCAGCGGTGCAGGTTCGGGCCGCCCTCCGCGTCATCGGGTCCAACCCGATGTTCGCGACGGGCACTCGCCTGTCAGACTTTCTCGCTGCCACACCTGCTGCTGATGCTCTTCTTCTCGCTGGGACGCGAGAAATTTGTAAAGAGGGAGAGGAGTACTCAGGAGGCGGATGGGAGGTCATCTCGTTCTGGAATCAGTTTATCAGCCAGGCCCATTCACGAACTCTACTTCGGGATGTGCGGTCTGTCTGGGCGCTCGGTTCCGTGACAAGGGCGTGATTCAGACATGGGGGTCCCCTCCCGAAGCTGGGGGTCGTCCCATCGCAGTCAGAATCAAACGAGGGGCCATGGAAGTCACCTTCGGGGTCTTATACTTTCCGCCTCACCCCTCCAAGAAGGGTCAGGCAGGAGCTTATTATCTTGCAGCCAGGGTGTCTAGAGCTTCGACCACTCTATTTCGGCACGGCACCCCGTCCATCACCCACACATTCCACCAGCCAGCGCGCCCCTCCGCCCCGACCCCTTTATTTCGGCACGGTGCACCCCTCCGCCCCGACCCCTCTATTTCGGCATGGCACACCCCCTCCACACCCCCTCCGCATCCCCCCCCACCCACCAGCCAGCACGCCCCTCCGCCCCGACCCCTTTATTTCGGCACGGCACACCTCTACGCCCCGACCCCTTTATTTCGGCACGGCACACCGCTTCCGCATCCCCGCACCCATCACCCAGCGCGCCCCTCCGCCCCAGACCCGTTATTTCGGCACGGCACACACACACACACACACACACACACACCGCATCCCCCCACCCACCAGCCAGCGCACCCCCTCCGCCCCGACTGTTTTACTTCGGCACGCCCCCCCCGCGCCCCCCTCCGCCCCGCGGCACGGCACACCCCTCCGCCCCGACCCCTTTTATTTACCCCTTTATTTCGGCACGGCACACCCCTCCGCCCCGACCCCTTTTATTTCGGCACGGCACACCCCCTCCGCATCCCCCCACCCACCAGCCAGCGCGCCCCTCCGCCCCGACCCCTTTTTTATTTCGGCACGGCACACCCTCCGCCCCGACCCCTTATTTCGGCACGGCACACCCCTCCGCATCCCCCACCCACCACCCAGCGCGCCCCTCCGACCCGACTCCTGATTTCGGAACGGCACACACACACACACACACACACACACACACACCACACACACACACACACACACCGCATCCCCCAACTTACCAGCCAGCGCGCCCCCTCCGCCCCGCGACCCCTTTATTTCGGCACGGCCTCCACTCCCTCCCCGCGCGCCCCGCGCGCCCCCTCCGCATCCCCCCCACCCACCAGCCAGCGCGCCCCTCCGCCCCGACCCCTTTTATTACGCCCCCCCACCCCTCCCACCCACCCACTCACAAGCCAGCGCGCCACTCCGCCCCGACCCCTTGTATTTCGGCACGGCACACCCCTCCGACCATCCCCCTTCCTTTTTGTGCAAGAGCCATGGCACACGTGCCACTTGCTTTGGCGCGGTACAAGCTGTAAAAAACTGGTTGCGGAATATACCCCAAGCACTTCCCGCACGCACAATTCTGGTTTGTTTCTCCGATTCGATCGACGGGTTGGGGCTTACTCGTGTTGCGGGCTCCTGGACCAGTCCTCCCTCGGAAGCTGTTGGTGCCACTTGGACAGAGGAGGCCCGTCGTCGAGGAGCAGGCGAGGAAGTGCGGAAAGTCCTAGATGAGCAGCACATGGTCGCGCCCAGCACCTTCCTTCCTCTGCACTACACCAACTACTCGTCGTCGAACCCGCCCTCGGCCTCTCGTCTGGACTACCTCTTCATAGCGCAAAGTTATCAGACGATAAGACGGCATTGTGGGGTTATGAGGGAGTTAGGTGTTAAGCTGGAGGCGATTCGTGAGGTTCATCCTCGCGATCATTTACCCATGTGTTTGAAGTTGGAGTATTAAGGACCCTCACGACATCGCCGCCCAGGTCCACCAGCGTATTTGCCCGTCTGCACTTCTACAGGCGATCCGAAAAGGCACGGGTAAGAGTCCCTTCCTGCCGGACATCGCTGCGGCCCTGCACCTTCGGCGCGAAGAGCTAGCAGAACTTACACAAACAGGGGCTGCGGATTCGTTCTTCGAACAGCTGGAGGGCATGCTGACTCGATTTGGACATAAGCATTTCTCTCGTCCACCCTTGGCTCCGAGTACTACGGACTCGACACGTAGTCGCGAATTGCTCCGTCTCCGTCGTGAGCTTCGACTGCAGAGAGGAGGGAGGAAGGATCCTGACGAGGAGCAGAAGGAGCTGAAGGAGTTATCGGGGAAATTGTTGAAAGAGAGGAGGAGAGCTCAGAAGGCGGAGAAGGAGCCATGCATCGAGTTGATCGAGGAGGTGCGGGAGGAACGGAGGATGGCCGACGCGCGACGGTCCTGTCGAGACCAGCGGCACGGGTGCAGGTCCGGGGCGAAGCCGAGAGACGGCAGAGGATCAGGGCCGCCCCCGCTCGATCGAGAAATGCGGCCACGACGTCTGCAGCTGCCTGGGCCCCGGGGGGGGTATGCCGGCGAGGGGGATCTCTCGGGCAGACTGGAGGCGAGAGCGCGACGGCCTGCCGGCGCCAGCGACGCCTGCTGCCGAGGGATCTGGCATCCTGGAGCTCGCGGGGGAGGACTCCCCGGCGGTACGGAGGCACGTGCGGCGCGCGGGGAAGAGACGGGCGGTCCCCCCCGGGACCTCCCCCCCCTGGAGCTCTGGGGCAAAGTGCTTAAATCCTGAGCAGGGCATCTCGCCGGCAGGGTGCGCTTCGGGCATGCAATTCTCGTCAGGCTCTGGCTTGGGGTACGAGGAGGAGGTTCCCGATTCGAAGATCCGGAATAAATTGTGGCATCTGGGGTTTTCTCAGATACGACGGGTTCAGATGACTCCTCTGTATTGGCATCGGTCTCGGGGGGTGGGTCTTCCAAAATCGTCGGATCCAGGGCCGCGAGGTCGTCGACTTATACATACACTCCCATCGATAGGTAAGGCATGGTATGCAAAGCTACTCGTACAACGATTACCCGATCAAGATCACGGCTTCACTCGACACCGACGGCGAGAAAATGTGATAGCGAGTACAATGATCCTAGGCTTCCGGCTTCGGCAGGCGGGTTGGGCGCACGCCACCACGACGAAAGACTTGTCTAATTCATTTGACAGTACCACCTGGGAACGACTAGATAAGGTGGTGACCAAGGTTGTCCCGCACCATGACCGCGTATTGTGTAGGCAGCGCTATCGTCTCTCAGTTGTTAAAGTTGAAACGACATCGGGCATACTGGTTGTCAAAACCGGGGTGGGCGGAGTTATGGGAGATCCTTTTAATGCTCATGGGTTTTCAGGTGCCTTTATTGAACCAGTGCAATTGTGGGTCGAAGATATACGGAAGGAATTGCCCGCCACGTGTCTCCTGGAGGCACAGTGGTGCTGTCGTCCGACGGATGTGTCCTTCCAGAAGTATGTGGATGACCTTCTGCGCACAATGTTGTTTACTATTGGCACCACGATGCTTGAGGTGTTCTCACAACTTCGTCAGGCGGATGCCATAATACATCGATCCTTAAGTACGGCCGGCCGGCTACGTTCAGCATAGAGATAAGCAGTGCACTACATTTTCGATTGGGTGGCAGGGAGCAGCAGCATGCAAGAAGTACATACGGGAGGAGGGGTGAAGGGCAAAAAGCTAGACGGCGAAATGTGTGCTGTAGCTCGCTATCTAGGTCCCGCCGAACCAGTTGTCGGCTCCAGAGGTTGAGAGGAAAATGGTTGCAGCTACGTCAGCATATTATAGTATGGGGTATTGCTGGTCTCTGCGGGCCCCGAAGCAGTGGAAGCGCACCATCTTTGTCGGACTCGAGCAGGGCTCTTTACTTTCGGGCATGGGGGCATTCATCTTGAGCGAGAAACAGATGAGCGCGATGGATCGTCATCTTGCCCGTTTGGGTTGTGCAGCGATGCAGGGCCTTGCCTACACAGAGAGAGAGGATGGTTCGAAACGCTCCCTTTCCACTGAGGAAGTCCTTCGGTACTGGGATCTCGCCACCTGCAAATGGGAACTCATTTCTAGAAGATTGGCGTGGTATCAGAGCTGGACCTCTCACCAAAACGAACATGTTCAACTCCTCACCGCACTTCTTGCAGAACTCCCCTTTGGACAGAGTGATTGCTGGCCGTGTAATGAATCGGGTCTAACAGAGTGGGCCTCACCTTGTGCGAAGCGGGTCGGGTACGATTGTGCTGCAGCTGCTGATGCTTGCCCTGACCACGCTGAACTGCTAGAACAACTCTCTGCCTGCCCCTGGCTTCTAATCGAGGATGAGGAGGTAATCCGATAGTTTGGTTATATTGTTTTTCGGAGGATTCGTGGACATCAGAAGTCTCTGGAAGTGCCCCCCCTGGCTTTGATGGGGGAGGGGAAGGCAATGAGGGCGAAGGGGAGGAGTTTGAAATTAACGCCGAGATTTCGCTCCCCGTCAAGTGTACGGCGCTTCTGGATGACGGGCAACTGTGTACCCAAGCATTATCTACGGCTCAAGGTTTGATGGAGCATCTTAGACATCGGTATCGTATACGAAACTTGGGACAGGTCCTTATCAAGACAAACCACTGCCCGATCTGCGACAGAATCTTCCGATCAACCACCACTGCTGCCCGACGCCTACATTGTGCCATAGTACGCGGTTATTGTGGAAAATCCCACCAGCCCTTTGGGCGTGAGTGGTTTAGCGAGCTCTCTCTGTCCTCAACCCCCCTTCTTCCCCTTCGGGGAGGGGTTTACCCCTCCCCCTACCCCCTCCCCCTGGGCCTGGAGAGGGAGTCCCGCGGGTCGCCAGGGGAGTCCTTTTGGACTCCTGGGAGGGCCAAAAAACGACGACCCTCACGAGGATTCTGGCCCCGACGGGGGGACACTAAAAACAAAACCCTCCTCTTCGTTGAAGCCAAAAACATTGATTGTACGACGGTTTCGGCCCCATTTTGGCCTCCTGAGGGGGCCGCGCTCCTCTTCCTTCATGGCAAAATCATTGATTGTACGAAGGTTTTGGCCTCATGTTGTCCTTCTCAGGGGGTGGCGCTCATTTGCGCTTCGGAGGAGGTCGCAAGAGGCCCCAAGATGGCCCCAACAGGCCCCCAGGAGGCTCCCAAGAGCCCTCCAAGAGGCCCCCAAGAGGCCCCCAAGAGGGCCGAAGAGGCCCCCAATAGGCCCCCAAGAGACCCCCAAGAGGCCCCAAGAGGCCCCAAGAGACCCCCAAGAGGCCCCCAAGAGGCCCCCAAAAGGCCCCCAAGAGGCCCCAAGAGGCTCCAAGAGGCCCCCAAGAGGCCCCACGAGGAGCCCGAACGACTCACACCAGGACGAGGGGCCCGAACGACTCACACCACGAAGAGCCCGAACGACTCACACCACAAGGAGGGGCCCGAACGACTCACACCAGGACGAGGCGCCCGAACGACTCACACCACGAGGAGCCCGAACGACTCACACCACGACGCGGGCCCCGAACGACTCACACCACGAGGAGCCCGAACGAGTCACACCAGGAGGAGGGGCCCGAACGACTCACACCAGGATGAGGGGCCCGAACAACTCACACCACGAGAAGCCCGAACGACTCACACCAGGACGAAGAGCCCGAACGACTCACACCACGAAGAGCCCGAACGACTCACACCAGGAAGAAGGGCCCGAACGACTCACATCAGGACGCGAAGCCCCAAACGACTCAAATCACGAGGAGCGCTTTCTCTCCCTCCTCCTCCGCCTCGTCCTTCTCCCGCTCCCCCCACAAGGAGGATGTACAAGGAGGCGGGAGGAAGGAGGAACAGGAGAGAAATGCGGGGCCAAGCGGACACACGCCTGAAAAACACGACTGTAGGCATGCTTCGCGAGAGTTGCTGCTGTGAGATGGGCTGGTGGGGATACGCGAAGCGTAAAGAATTGGAGCCCAAGTCCATTACTAAGCTTAGTGAGCCGTCTAACTATCGATGTGGGTTGTGTGAGTTTGAAGGAGGCGACTATCGAGAATACAGTAGCCATACTTTGGTTCATCTTCCGTGGCAAGTAACGCGAGATCGGCCTGGTAGTGAATTGCTCGGGCATCGCCGCAGTCATGCTGGAGATCAGGATGCCGCCGTGGGTGAAGCGCCCAGCGGAGTCTGCCCCGCCATCGGAGGGCCAGGCCGACCGAAAGGTGCGCAAGGCAGGGGGCAAGGGCCCTGGTGGCAGCGGTGGCGGCAGAGGGAAGGACGACTTCAGAATGCTGGTGCTCATGCTGGCCAAGCTGGTGGTGGCGGGTGCGCGCCAGATCGCGGCGCTGGAGTCGACCATCTGCGAGAGCTACGTCTGCGCCGAGAGCAGCGAGGCGGACATCGGCACGGTGGCGCGCGGCGCAGGTGTGGAGTACGATCGCGTGTCGGCCATGATGAAAGAGAAGCAGAAGAACGGCAAAACGGTCGACTTCCGCGAACGAGGAGCACCGTACGTCGCAGTCTTCGTCACAGTGATCCGCCACGTGATGGTGATGACCCAGGTCGACGGCCCCCACGCGGGCGCAGCTGTCCACGGCCCAGTTCGCAAGTACTGGGAGACGGTGGTCATGATGAAGAAGGCCTAGGATCTCGGCCAGGACGTCCTCCACTTTCGCTATCGGAAGGCGCGCAAGGACGTGGCCGACGGCAAGGGGGTCCTCTCGGTGGCAGTGTGCCTTCGGGAGCCGGTGGTGGTCGCGATGCGGCAGGCGGTGCTCAAGTACACGGTGGAGGTCCCGAAGATCGAGCGGGTGACGGGGCCAGCGCCTCGGGGACCCTTGGAGCGCGAGGTCTCGCGCATCGTGTCGGAGATGCAGCAGAAGCAGGAGGTGGAGGCCGGGTGCATCAGAGTGCCAGGCTGGCCTCGCTCATCGAGCGAGGTGCAGTGCCAGAGGGTGTTCTCGCTTCTCTGCCCGCTGTTGCCTCGTGCGCCTCGGCCTCTCTCCCCTCCGTTCCTGCGGGGTTCGTCCCTCCTGCTCCCCGCCCGCCTAAAGGGAAAGGTAGGGGCAGGGAGAGAGCTCGATCGGGTGACGCTGTGAATACGAGCCGAGGGCGTGGAGCCTCGGGCGGCACTGCCCGCTGGAGAGCAGGCCAGTCGAGAGGTGGAGGCCAGCCAGCCAGTGGGCGGGGGTGTGGTGAGGCGGGTGGGACGGGCGACGGCTCAGCGTGAATCGCTGGCCCCCACGGGGTATCCACCAGGGTTGCGCGCCCAAACGGTAGTCGCCCTGGAGAGGCGGTGCGAGCGGCGCTCGAGAGGACATGTGGGCCTAGAAACGGTTCCATGAGAGTAGACTATCGCAAAAGCGACGCTCAGAAGTTTAGAGTAGCGGCACTTTCGGGACACTCAGACTTCCAGGAGGGGACTGGACTGGACTGGGACTCCTCCTCCCTCCCTCCCTCCCTCTCCCCCTCCCTCCCTCCCTCCCTCCTCCCTCCTCCCTCCTCCCTCCTCCATCCTCCCTCCTCCTCCGCCTCCTCTTCCTCCTCCTCCTCCTCCTCTTCCTCCTCGTCCTCCCCCATTCCCCTCCTGCCCCTTCTCCTCCTCCATCCCTATTCCTTGTAACACTTCCGTGCCGCACCCCGACACGTAACAGTATGGCAGGCCGGGCAGTTCAGGATCGCCAGGACGCAACGGTGACGTTGATTCGCGGCGTTGAAGTCCCAGGAATGGTGTTCTGGCACGGTTTCGGATTTCAGGCGGTTGTTTTCCAACGGGGTGCGTCCCTCAGTAAAACTGAATCCTTGTAGCAACCTATAAAAGAAGGAACTTGGGGAGGGTTACTTACAACATCGTTGATGAGTCTTGGGTTTACACTGGTCCTCCTCCTCCCCCTCCTCCTCCTCCGCCTCCTCCTCCTGCCCATCCTGCTCCTCTCCTCCTTCCCCCCCTTCTCCTCCCCCTCCCCCTCCCCCTCCTCCTCCTCCTCCTCCTCCTCCTCCTCCTCCTCCTCCTCCTCCTCCTCCTCCTCCTCCTCTTCCTGCTCATCCTCCTCCTCCTCTTCCTGCTCCTCCTCCTCTTCTTATTATTATGGTTATTAGTATTAATATTATTAGTATAGTGATTCGTATCACCATTAATAGTATGCACTTTAGTGTTAGCAGTATTCGTCTTATTAGTACTAATAGTATTATCCGTATTATTAGTATTGTTTTTAGTCGTAGTAGTAGTAATAGTATTGTGTTTGTTACTTTTTCTTAGTATGAAAAATATCATTATTAGTATTGTGATTATTATTCTTATTTTGGTTCCTCCTCCTCCTCCTCCTCCTCCTCCTCCTCCTGCTCCTCCTCCTCCTCCTCCTCCTCCTCCTCCTGCTCCCTCCTCCCCCTCCCCCTGCTCCCCCACGCCTGGAGCACCCGCGCGCCTCCCCCCACCCCCCCCCCGGGGCTGCAGGGCCGAGCACATCCCTGGGCACGCGCGCGCGCGAGCCAGGCGCCCCTGGGCCCCCGAGGCCCCGGGCACACGCGCGCGCGCGCCAGGCGCCCCCCAAAGGAGGAGGGCAGTGATAGGGGGCCACATGCGAACCCTACCCCTATCCCCCACGATTTCTGAGGGGGAGGGGGGGGTCACTTCGCTCGGGCGCTCCCGAAAGAAGTGAACCCCACCCTCCCCCTCAGAAATCCTGGGGGGTAGGGGTAGGGTTCGCATGTGGCCCCCTAAGTGAGGGATCGAGGCGCGGGAGAGCGGCATGTTCCGTGGCCTGGCGGCGAGACCAGGGGGAAGTGAGAGGGGCGGGTTGCTCAAGGAGGCTCGGGAGGCCTCGGGCCTTGTGAGAAGTCATCCAGGCCTTCCCTGGAGACGCAGAAAACGTCTCATAATACTGCGAAGCCCCGCCGCCTTCTGAGAAGGCCTTTTCTTTCTCACTTCCCCCCTCGCTCGCCGCCGAGAGGCGCGGGAGAGCGGCATGTTCCGTCCCGCGCTGCGCACCCCCCTCCGGACCTGCGCAACCGACAAGGTCCGCTTGTCCGGAGGGGAAGGGACAGGGCGGGCGGGCCCGAGAGCCCGGGCTATGGCCGGACCCCCCTGCAAAAAAAAGAACAGCCTCCCGCCGTGGCGGCGGGAAGCCTACAGGAGGCCCCAACATGGTGAGCGGCGCCCAGGAGGAGGAGGAGGAGGAGGAGGAGGAGGAGAAAGAGGAGGAGAAAGAGGAGGAGGAGGAGGAGGAGAAGGAGGAGGAGGAGGAGGAGGGGGAGGAGGAGGAGGAGGAGGAGGAGGAGAAAGAGGAGGAGGAGGAGGCCATTCTCCGGTCGACCCGTTGGGGCAACGCAAGACCGACTTCGGTGGCATCCCATGTCGTCTTGCTGGCTCTGGCGAGTCGACGCCAAGCGACGCTAAACAGACGCGAGTCGACGCCAATTCGGCGCTTTCTCATCGATCACCAGACGCTAGCGCACGCTGGTGCACTCTAAAGACTCCACTTTTAAGGACATGCAAGGCTGCCGTGAGTTGCTGCCACAAGCATGCGCTTCGAGGCCCCAAGGCTCCAGACTTTGTCGGCCTGCTGGAGGAAGTAGGCGTGGTTGCTGGTGAACAGGCAGGTACGGGGTCGCCGCCTGCCCCCCCGAGTGCTCTCCGGGCCGCGGGCAGACGAAGGCAGGATCGGCTGAGCTGCACGTCGATGAGATGCGTCTACTCTGTAAGAACGGTTTTTTGAAGGCAGATCTGCCTTCAAAAAACCGTTCTTACAGAGTAGACGGATTTTTTGAAGGCAGATCTGCCATCAAAAAACCGTTCTTACAGAGTAGACTGTCGTCCCTTTGCGCAAGACGAGCTCACTGAAACGGCGTCGATTGAGCACCGCTCTGGACGCAGCATGCGCACAGCTCCGCAGAGGGGCGAGGGAGCTGGCGGCGAGGGGCTATCCGCCGATCCCCCGCCTGCCGGGGGTGAAGAAAGACGGCGTGTGAGAGATGGCTGGCTGCCCCGTTCCCCCTTTGCCCCTCCCCAGGGGCAGCGGAGGCCAGTCCACGAGAAACCTTCCACGAGAAACCCAACCCTGCGAGGGAGCTGGCGGCAAGGTGCTATCCGCCGACCCCCGCCTGCCGGGGGTGAAGAAAGAAGAGGTGAGAGATGTCTGGCTGCCCCGTTCCCCTTCTCCCCTCCCCAGGGGTAGCGGAGGCCAGTCCACAGGAAACCTTCCAACGAGAGACCCCACCCTGAGACCCCAGGACGGCCAGTGACTGTTGGCGTGGGGACGTCGCGCTTTCCACGGCAGAACCGTCGAAACCCAAGAAACCCAGGGCACACTGGAGGCGAGCAGGGTGTTTCTTGGCATGGGCCCCCACCGGACGCAAAGCCATTCAGGGAGGTGGGAGGGGGCTGAGCGCCTCAACACAGCTCCCTGACGCCCAGGGCCTCCAAATGTACCCTCCGATGCTTCTAAAGTACCCCAGACGCCTTCCAAGATGCTCAAGACAGTCTCCAACACGCCAACGAGCCCCGATGCAGACCCCAAGATGGCCTCAAGATGGCCTCAAGATGGCCTAAAAGGCCGCCGAGGCGCCCCAAGAAGGCCTTAAGCGAACACCCCAGAGGGCCTCACGAGGCAAAAAAACACTGCTTCCCAAAGCAATGTATGCACTAAGGGTCTCTTGCTTGTCTTGGTAGGTGGTTGGCTGGGTCTGCCGAGGTTTCGCCTGGTGGGCGGCCGCGGGCGCCTCGTGGGCGCCCCGTGCGCTGGCTGGGTCTGCCGAGGCTTCGCCTGGTGGGCGCCTCGTGGGCGCCTCGTGGGCGCCCCGTGCGCTGGCTGGGTCTGCCGACGTGTCCCCCTGGTGGTGGCGGGCGAGTCGGGGGTGCATCTCGGGCGCTCCGTGCTGCTCGAGTTCCACATGGCTCGGATCGTCCAGCTTGCACCATCTGGTTTAGCCCACCTAGCTTGCACCGCATGGCTTGCGCCACAGAGCCTACACAACATAGCTTACATCACTTGCAGCACGCATGGCTTGCACCACATAGTTTGAACACCATAGCTTGTATCACATAGTTTGCACACCCAGGGTTCAAGAACTCATTAGTTTGGGCCCACACTGGCAAACCTTTCCTTTGGTGTTTGAAAAATGTTCGTGTTCTCGCTGCGTTGGACTTCCGGAAGCCCACGACGGCCAACACGCCCCCCGGACCAGCTTAAGACGGCACAGGAGGCTCCCGCGACGGCCTAAAAGGGCGCCCAGACGGTCCAAGAGGCCCCCAAGGCGGCCCATGAATGCCGAAGAGGCCCCGAGGAGGACCCCAGAGGGGCTTCAGAAGGAGAGCTCGAAACGGCTCCGGGAGCCCACCCCCGCAACATGCCAACCCCAGGCCCCCTGATATAACCCCAAGAGGCTACGGAGACGCCCCCCAGAGCCCCTCCAGAGGCCCGAAGATGACCCCAAGATATGTCCAAGAGTGTTGCGAACACCCCCAAAATGGCCCAAATATGCCTCCCAAAAGGCCCCCACAAAGCTCACGAAAAAAGATGCTCCTCGACACTCCCGCAAATCCGACGCATTTCCCCGTGCAGAGGAACCCCGCATTTCTGCAGCAAACACCCCCATGATCACCCCGAGGAGACCCCAAGAAGCATGTGTCCTCTGTTTCTGCCCCCTCTTCGAGCACACAGCTACATAAACATCAAGGCCCCTGAGAGGCCCGCCCAGAAACCTCGGGAGGCCACAGTGCGGCCTCTGGAACATGACCAAGACGCTATCGCGCACTTCAAACAAACATCACAACTCTGCTCGTCTTGGGGATCGGCGGAATGGCGTTGGAGTGCTGCATATGACCCCAGCGCAAGAAAGAGAAAGCTCCGAGACCGACCCTGCGCACCCGCTCTGCATTCCCCACTTCGCCTCCCCGCTCCTGCCTCTTCCTCCTCCTCCCTCCTAGCTCCGCCCTCCTACTGCCTCCTCATCCTCATCATCACCATCAGCATCATCACCGAAGTCATCGTCATCCTCGTCAAAAACATCATCATCATCAGCATCATCATCATCATCATCATCATCATCATCATCATCATCATCATCATCATCATCATCATCATCATCATCATCACCACCGCAATCATCACCACCACCAACAACATCACGGCCACCACCACCACCCAAAAAACATCCACAGCTTAATCAGAATCCTCGCCATCATCAACGACGACCACATCAGCATCAGCATCGTCATCACCATCATCAGCATCTGCATCATCATCATCAGCAGCAGCAGCATCAGCATCATCATCAGCATCAGCATCATCACCACCACCACAATCGTCGTCGTCATCATCAGCAGCATAATCATCAGCATCTTCAGCATCAGCATCATCATCATCATCATCAGCAGCACCATCAGAATCATCAGCAGCAGCAACATCAGCATCCTCATCATCAGCATCATCAGCATCAGCATCATCATCATCATCAACAGCATCAGCATCATCAGCAGCATCATCGTCATCAACTGCATCATCATCATCATCATCATCATCATCATCATCATCATCATCATCATCATCGTCATCATCATCATCATCATCATCCTCATCATCATCATCATCATCAGCATCAGCATCATCATCATCTTCATCAGCATCATCCTCCTCAGCACCATCATCATTATCATCAACATCATTATTGTCATCATCACCATCATCAGCATCATCATCATCACCATCGGCATCATCACCACCACCACCACCATTATCATCGTCGTCGTGACCATAATCGGCATCGCCATGACCATTACCATTCATCATCGCCGTCGTCCTCATAATCGTCTCCTTAATTTTGGCATCATCAACATCACCAGAATCATCAAGACAAAGATCAGGATCATCATAATTATCACCATCATCAACATCATCGTCATCATCATCGTCATCGCCATCAGGATCATCATCATCGCCACCACCACCATCATCATCGTCGTCATCGTCAGCATCATCATCATCATTGTCAGCATCAGCATCAGCATCAGCACCACCATCTGCCAACAACAATGTTCATCACCATCACCATCACCATCACCATCACCATCATCCTCTGTATTACCACCATCATCGTCGTCGTCAGTTTCCTCATCATCACTATCATCACCATCATCACCATCATCACCATCATCATCAGCATCATCATTACCATCAACATCATCATCCCCACCCCTCTCCCCCAGCCCTCCTCATCCCCCTCCCCACTCCCCAATCTCCCGCATGCCCCCCCTCCCCCTAACTTTCCTTCTGCCTCCCCCTATTCCTCCTCCTCCTTCTCCTCCTCTTCCTCCTCCTCCTCCTTCTCCTCCTCCTCCTCCTCCTGCTCCTGCTCCTCCTCCTCCTCCTCCTCCTCCTCCTCCTCCTCCTCCTCCTCCTCCTCCATCCTTTTTCCTTGTAAATAACTCCTCCCTGTCGCTCCCCCCGACGTGTCGGTAGGGCGAGCCGGGCGTTTCGCGTGAGACTTCCTCACCAGCCATGTCCTTGACACGTGAAATTTGCAACAGCTTTGCGCATGGAGGGAGAGCGGTTTCCAAAATATTGCTACCGTTGCCATCGCTTCAGTGCCGCGCACGTGTGTCTTAACAGTTTGCAACAGCTTCACGGATGAGTTCGACATTGGACTTTGCGGTGGCGTCTGAACATCGCTTGCCTTACATCCAGTGTCAGGGCAGCTTCTGTGCAGGCAGCACTTTGCTCGAGGAAGTGGAGGGGAGCTGGCAGTCCGCTCGTGATGTGCAGTCTGCAAGTGGTCCCCCGGTCTCCTGCTGGCCCCCAGGCCCACTCGGAGCCCTGCTGCTGGACCCAAACCGAGTCGTAGCGAAGCTCTGTCTCGGGAGCGCGTCGACGAGCGTCGCGCGCGGGCCCGTGCCCCGAATGCAATGAGCTGTCTGGGCATCTCCCCGCGCCTGCCCGACAGGGACCGAGCGACGCTGGAGATGCGCTTTTGGACGGGATCTCCCCGGGCTCAGTGCTGGGAGCCCCCCTGTGGCTGATGAGGGCTCAGGGGCTCTCGAAGAGGATGAAGGGGCCCTGGGACACACAAATAAATACACACAAATAAAAGGATTCCCCATATTTCCCCATGTTTTCTGGGTTTTTGTCTTCCCCCCCACTTCCCATATTTTCCTATATTTTCCTGGGGGTCGACGATTAATTGTGTCTGTGTGTTTTTGTTCCCTCCTGAGAGGACTTCGGACCCGAGGAAGACCCCTGGGCAGACGAAACCGGCTTTCACCCTGTCGAGCGTTCTCTCGGCTGCTCGCGGTGGGACCAAGGTGTGGCTCGTTCTAGGCCTTCAGATCCTCAGACGAATGTCTGCCAACGGGGCACGTCCCTCAGTGAAAGTGAACCCTTGTAGGGGCCTATGAAAACGGAGCTTGGAGGAAGGGTTTCTTCCAACATCGTTGATGGGTCTTGGGTTTACAGTGGTCCTTCTCCTCCTCCTCCTCCTCCTCCTCCTCCTCCTCCTCCTCCTCCTCCTCCTCCTCCTCCTCCTCCTCCTCCTCCGCCCCCACCTCCTGCTCCTCCTCATCATCCTCCTCCGCCTTCTCCTCCTCTTCGCGCATCCCCTCCTTGACCTCGAACAAGCAAGGGTGGCGAGAGAGGCAGCG